CCCGCCAGGCAGCTGTGCGTGGCCGGCGGCCCGCCCTAAGCGCCCCGCAGAGCAGGGGCCCCGCAGGGACGAGTGACGCTCAACGTAACGCGTCGTCTCGAGGAGGAACGTTCAGCGTGAAGGCCGGCAGTGGAGAGCGGGACGTCGTACAGAGCGGAAAGGGGGCAGACGGAGAGGCGACTGGCAGATAGGCAACCCGCATGCGAACGTGCGATGCGGGCCGCTCAGGTGCAGTCGCAGTGCGGCCGGGGCGCGTTGCGGAGATAAAGATGCTCCTCGCCGCTCACCCCCGCTTAGCGACCCGCTCCCCCGCGGCGCATCGGGTGGCCAAGCAAGGTGAAGTTCACAGGTTGACGCGGCGCGGCGGGGATAGAGAGCTGGAGAGACTCTGTAGGCGGGGCGGGGCGGGGCGCTCGCAGATCAAACCGGAATCCGTTGCTCACCGCGGCGGGCTGCGGCTAGAGCGGCGGGCGCGCTCCCGTCACGGTGCTGCTAATGGCCGCTGGGACGCGGGCCGCCGTCCGGCTCGGCTGGGGCGTCGTCTCATCGAATTCAAGTGGATTTGCGCTCCCAGTGCAATAACCTTTGGCGGACCTAGCCGAGCAACCTGGGGGGGGGGGCTGGTGAGCCCGGACGTGACCCCCACCACCCCTAAGAGACCGACGGACATGGTAAAAGGGGGGAGGGGGTGCCATTGCCACTTCCTGCCGATAGATCTTTAAAGCAAGGCAGGGGCGCAGACTGCAGGTGCCCCGAGTGGACCCGTGGCCCGCGGTGGGAGCCCAGGCCCCTCATGGCGCGCACTGGGGGTGATGCGATGGCTGTTGTTTGAGAGGTGGCCCCCGCCAGCGCCGCGCCGCGTTTTAAAGGGGAACTGCCCGGGCCGGATGTGCCATGGGCCATGCACACATAACAAGGAGGCGGACTGGGGCGGCGCCACTGGGATGCGCTCATGGCGGAGTATACGTGGAGCGGAGGAGACGTGCAACGGACCCAGCCAGAAATGAAATTCGATCGACGTCGAATCGACGTCGACGTTGCTCGAAAAACGCAATTTTGGCACTCAAATCGAGGTGTCGAGGTCGAATCGACATCGAATCGACGTCGAAGAAATTTTCATTTCTGGCTGGGGGAGGCAAGGGTCGCACCGGGACACAGTGGAGAGGTTTCGGGAGTCTTTACATAGAAAGAAAAGAAGAATACATTCAATAATGTGAAAAAAAATAATATATTGTCTTGAGAGTACAACTTTAGATTAACACAAAACTGAAAAATCAATATGTTATGAAAGGTTGCCCCTGCTCTCACACCAATCCGCAAATTATTCTTTAGCACTGTGCTGTCACTAGACTAGAAAATTAAATCACAAAATGTTGATGAAATGAAAAAGAAAGCACTAATGTGATAAAGCCACAGCTTGTTGAGGAGATTCGTTTCTGAGATCAAGACCCTCCTTGGCTGCAAGCATTCGCTCATGAGCTCTTCTAAAAGCAGCAAGTACCTGGTTCACACTACTAACAAGTGTTGATGCACTGAGGCGTTCAAGGAGTGCACTCCGGCCTGGCAAAGAAGCACGGTCTACTGAGCTTGGAGACTGTATAACCACGTTAAATACCATGTCAACATTTCCACTGGTGGTGGTCAGGAGTCCATACTTCCCCAGCAAGTTACCCTGCAAGGAAAAGTACATTTAGAACATTAATAATGAACAGCTGTCTTTCCCATATAAGATTATATAACATTATTCTTCATGTACCTCATGTTGTTGAGGAACTCCAACAAAGGTGATGTCGTCAAGTTCTGGATTACCACCAATAAAAAAACGGCGTAACTCACTTGAGGGAGACCCAATGGGCCGCCATGTATGTGTCGTAGTCTGATGTAAGCCAGCAGTCGAGGGTATTACTATGTAACCATAGCCCTCAGTACAGTACCGACCCCACCAGTCCAAAGATAGGACCTCAAACATTAATTGAGGCCACTTCGGGAATATTTCTAAAAATTAAAGTAGGAATAGAGAATAATGTAACTAAATTGATCTAAGAGACTTTGCTGCATGTAGTTTGATGGCAATTCCACAAACCAGAAGAATCTTCCATATCAGATAAATTTAATTTTAGTGAGAATAACAATGGATGGCCCAAGTGAACACAACCATCCACTGCTCTACATGAGGCACTTATTCCAGAGAGAGAGCTGGTTGAATCACAGCTCCAACCTGTTAAAGACATGATTTTGAGATTTAAGTACTATAAATCCAAAATTATGAAACCAAACAATTCATGAGGTTAACCTTTTGGTAGATCCACAAAATAGTGAACAAAGAGATTTTTGTCATCAAAATTTCTTAAAGTATTTATCTGCCCAAAGATGTGGATTGCTAAGGTACCAATGGGACAAGTGGTGAAATCTTCTCCAACTTTAGCCCTCCTTATGTCTGACTGATGACTGTATATCTAGAAATCAAAGCAACCCTCACACATTTAGTATGCAAGTGAAATGAAAGAAAAAGGAAATATAGACTGCAGAACTTACTTTCGACCTCACTTCTGCTTCTTTTATCTCCTCTTCCTCACTAATGCCACCGGACACAAGTTCTAGCCAGTACTCATAAACGTTACGCGCATCGCCATCTACTTCAATGCGGTACGGTTTTGAAGAGTTAGGTGCACCACATATATCAGGACTTACTAAAAGAGACCCACTCACAGCATTCCATCGAATTACACACAAAACGTATTCATTTGCTCCAATTCTAGAAACACAACAAAAGTTGAAAATAATGTCATAAAATAACCAACAAGCAAAAATTGTAGATCACTTACTCATTTGAGGAGCTGAGATCAGCCATAATGTACATTTTTTGGCAAGTGGCCTGTAGATGACCCTGAAGGTGAAATTCAGCATTACCACTTCCCTCTTGAGTTAAAGGTTGACGGCGTTTAATTTTATCCCTCCTATAGTAGTTAGCATGACAATTGCCACATACACACAATCACATATATACATACATACAAATTAAGCTAAAATTTCACTGTAAATTTCATTTTTACCCATTTTTTAATATATTTTTTTACCTGAAAAACTTCTGAGGAGTATACCGCTGCTTGATCTGAAGTTGTCTCATTGCTGTCACTAAATGATTGTGATGTGGTTCCCCACCAGAAGTTGGAATATTTTCATCCTGGTTGAGAAACAAAAACTTGGTTAAACTAAACATAGGAATGAATTTTTAATTACAAATTGAACTTACTTCTTCAATATTTGTGACATTATCGTTATGAACATAAGAAAACAATCGCTCTTGTTGGGAATGCTGTCGATTGATAGTAATTACTTGTTTGTGGTACTGTTCTTGCAAAGCAGTGTGACAATTTCCAATATTCTTATAGAGTTCAATCTGTAACAGATTAAATATGGCAAACTAAATGGATATGACCAAATTAAATTTCACCTTAACAGCTTCTTTAACTTACCTCATAATTGCTGAAAACCTTTTCTTGCCATGAGAATGTTTTAATCTCATCTTCTGATGTATGACCACGGGCTTGGCTGATGCCTGACACTGTGACAGAGGCCGTTGCTGAGGCAGAGGAAGCCCCATCAATGTCTCGATCTTGATCTTCATTAACAAACTGAGGAAGTGGTATATGGGCTGCCTTTACATGTCTTAGATGCACCCTAAATTGAGTAGAAAATTAATTATTAGAGCCAAATTGTTATCTCCAACTTAAACAAGAAGATACACGGTGGATATGAGCATGATATAAGATCTGGTAAAACTGGGGGAAATAAATAAATACCTAATTTTGAGATTCTGAATAGGGTCATTGGTCTTGTAGATGCCCGTGAACGCTTCTCGCTCATCACCAAGTGGCATTTTAACAATACTTTCGTTCTTCACATTATTATGGCAATGCTAAGCAGATATTCTAATTCTGACTAAAAACCCAAACAAATCAACAAATATTTCAAAACATCAACATTGCATATTGCCAACACCTTAAAATTCTTCACAGCGAAACGAAACATAAGCAAACCAACACAGTAGCAAAGAAAAAGAAGAAAAACTACACAAAATAGTTCTAGTTATGGAAGCATTTGATTAATTTGGTCCAAATCACCTCATCTCATAAATTGCCCGGTCAACAAGTCACAGAAATTTAAATATAAAGTTTCTGGAACTTGGCAAGCCTGTCGTGTAGCACTATGAGAATTTCCCTTTATAAAATGATGTAGCACCAAAGCACCGTTTAATTTTTCATACGATGTGTTGCGACTCGTCTCGTGAACGAGATGTGTGCTAGGTGGCGCAACCTGTTTACGTTTTTAGAGCAAAGTGTGAAATGGTGTGAAGTGGAAGAGCTGATGTGAAGTGCAGAAAACATTACTATTGCTTCGCTAGTGACTTGAATATTCCATGCATACCTAATATATTCAGTGAAATGTTTTGATGTGTGTAGCTGCCATATATCACTTCCCTTGCTGCAGTTCTCGATTCGAGAAACCAATCGCATGGTGCGGTAAAAATGCACTTCTACAAGGAGAAAATTCTCTCGGATGGGCAATTAAAACGTTTGAGCGAACATAAGTACAATTCTGAAAGTCAAAGTTTGTTGGATGCCTGGCTCCAACCATGGTGGAACTGGCTTGTACGACAAGTACCTATTTGGCTTGCCCCGAATCTTATAACCCTTTCAGGGCTCATCATCAACATAGTGACAACTTTGATTCTCATCTACTACAGTCCGGATGCAAAGTCTGATGTAGGTATCCCCTACTCATATTGGTAACTGAAATTACAAAAATAAGAACCTACAATAATTTTAATTTGTTTGTACCATTCTGACAATAACATGAGCTTTCATGTATTTGGAAATTCGCAGTGTAATGAGATATTTGTTCGACTACTAGCACTATTTTCACATTTGCTACAACCATTTTTGTATTGTTTGGTTGTTTGTGACAAGCTTGTGTTTTTACTTCAATTTTCATCCTTATTTTTCAGGCACCCAGGTGGGCTTTTTTTCTATGTGGTGTAGGATTATTTGCCTATCAAAGTTTAGATGCTATTGATGGAAAACAGGCAAGACGTACGGGCACATCAAGTCCCCTAGGTGAACTTTTTGACCATGGTTGTGATTCAATTTCAACAGGTAACAAATTACATTAATCTCAAAATAGGATAATACTTTTTTTTAATTCTGAAGTGATAACATTATTAATTTTGTTTTCAGTATTTGTTGCAATATCAGCCTGCATAGCTGTTCAATTAGGCTACTACCCAACTTGGATGTTCTTCCAATGTTTTTGTGCTATGACCCTCTTTTATTGTGCTCACTGGCAGACTTATGTATCAGGTTTGTGAAGACTACCTTTTCACATATGTAATATATGGTGTATATAACTGAAATCATGTTTTGAAGTTTCACTCTATTTAATTATGTTTTATAGGTACCTTGAGGTTTGGAAAGTTAGATGTGACAGAAGCCCAGATCACAATCATGTTTATCCACCTCATTTCAACAATTTTCGGGCCAAGCATCTGGATGGCAAAGGTTAGTGTGCAATAGATTTACTTTCCATATTCTGAAATTATTGTCTAATTTCAAAGACTTTATTAATTTTCTGTTTAGTTTAATCGTATCTCAGTAGACATATGCAATTCCTTTTTTTTTTTTAAATTGAAAAAAAAATAAATTCCCTTTTAATTTTAAACGGTTAAAAGTTCTGTAGAAAAGTCAGATGATTTTTTTAAAACTAAACTGTGCATTGCCAAGCCAAACTTAGATTTGTGCCACATGAGTGTCTTGTTTCTTTCTTTTTTCATGAGTGCCATTCGTTTTTCTAATGTGTAGAATTCTCGTCTCAAAATTTTCTATTAGCAGTTGAAAGATGAACCCATCTCAGCTTTATCTTAGCATTGTTTTAATCATTATAATTATGATTATCTATTTGTTTTAAGCTAGCCTCATCAAATTGCTGGCGGCTCCATCTTGCATACAGCTACAATGATTAATATTTCTGATATTTTTCAGTCCCTCTCCTGCATCATTTTCTGGCACCACTAACAGGTGTCGCTGGAACAAAGGGTCCTTACATTTGTTTAGCTGGTCAAATATTTGATTGTAACGTTGTTATCTTCACCCAGATGGGAAAGCGACCGGCTATAAGGGGATTGGCAGAAAGTTTTGTACAAACTCAATCATGATCATATCTGTTCACAACTCTTGGGGCTGACCTCCAGTTTACTATGCCGTCATTTCTTGGCTTTTAATTTTCTGTTTTTATCTCTATTTTTTGGTGTTTACATGTGAGGCTTCCTCAGTTTCTGTGTACATATTGTGGGACAGTATTCTAGTGCTTTAGCTAGAAATATTGTTTTCTATCTCTATATTCAAGTCATTTGTGTTGGATTTTTTATCATTTCTAGATCTTAATGTAGTTTATTCTGCTTTCCCCTTACTTAGCTAATCTAATTTGTGCCTTCTGGTCTTGATGCTTCTGAATCCTCAGTTTATCTCTCTTGTAATAGCATGTAGATGTCTTGAGTAGGTCTTACGACATGCATCAAATTTGCTTGCTTAAGTTTTTATTTAATAGATCATTTTTCTATTCCAGATTCCCCCTCTAGAATATTTTGAATTACGCTATGTGATAGGTATGTTTACGATATTGGGGGCTACATTGAATTTGTACAACATGTTCCTAGTCATCATATCTGGAGGAGGAGGGAAAAATGGATCAACTGTAGCTGTAAGTGAATAAGAGAAACCAAGTAATAAGCGAGAATCCATGTGTGTAATAACTCTTTTTCATTTAACTTACATTTAGTGAGCAGGGGAGTGATTGCGTTATCAGATAATTTTTCCCTGGTATGCAGCAATGAGTATTGTTTTTGGAGCTGCCTCTTTTTTTACAAAATGTGGACATAGTGTGTTTCAAATCATAAACGAACATGTTGTGACAATTCAGTTTTTCTTCGTGTTCTTAAAAAAAGTTGACAACAACGTTGTACTGGGGCAAATTAATTTCAGAGTAGAGTATCAGTCATTTCTCAAGGAAGTAGAAGAATTGATTCACTATTACAACAATTTTCAAGTGATGCACTCAATTAAAAGTTAGGGCTCCTTCTACAAATGAACAGCTAGCTGAATGATGTGTTATGTATGCATGGGGTTTGGCCTCCATTTTCCTAAAGCTTCCGGTAGAGTGACTTTTTGGCAGCAACCTTAATCTATAGCTTGAGGCATAATTATGCTTCTCACCCATATAATAGATTGAGAAGCTATAATTATTATGCAAAAGGCATATAAACCTTAGGAGAGACTGAAAAACCTAGTGCATTTAGACTTTGCTTGGTACTTGTTCAAGCAACCTCCCTTTATTCAATGTGCTGTGACCCTTAAAAATTTTGTCTTGGTGATCCAACTATACATTTTCATTTAGAACTTTTCAAATCTCTTATATTCTTTTAAAAAGACAAAAAAAACAAGTCTTAATCATTTTATTTTTTTAGTTTGAGATAGTATGCAATAGCTACATAAGATTATGTATTGGCTGCTGAATGGTACTACTCCAGTTGTTTTCCTTTGTTGCTTTTTTTCTCACAGTTTTAAACCCTGCAGGCTCTCACTCTGTCTCCCTCTATTTTCCTACCCTAAATGTTATTTTACCTTACACACGAAAAGAGGTTTTGGTTCTTTCCCAGGGTGTTCCAACTGTCCTGAATGTTTCCCTTTGGCATATTAGAAGTCTGATTCATGAAATAGTGTGATTTGTAGAAAATAAGCAGGGTATTGTATGATATCTGAGCTGCCCTTGGTTCTGTCGTTTTATACCATTTGCTATCTTTTAAATTTTGTGTTTAATCTAAGTAAAATATTTTCAACACCTCTACGAAACAGACAAAACGCACTCACAACTCCAACTTTTTAGTGTTGCTTTAGTAACTTACCTTGACTTCTTTTACTGACTGACTTTGGACTTAGGTATGACTTTCCAACAAATTTGTTGTCTTTCTTATGCTTGTCAAGCTTGAGGTCTTGCTTTTTATTTTCTTATCTATATTTTCTTAGGGGTTATTCTGTGTATAAAACAAACACTAAATCAAATAACAGTTTTTATCGAATCTTGACATAGACGCATGAGGAATCTCAGTGCAGCAATTAAATTTTACAAACTTCACTTTGCTTCCATCTAGCTTTTTCTTTTACTTTTGAGCAGTCACATATTACTGTATTTCTTGTGCAGTACATCATTTTTTTAAATACATTTTTTTCTGAGTAGTTAACTTGGTGTACATTTGTGTGAACTGTCTATGTATAGGTCATTTATTCCAGCGATTCATCTTTCACCTGCTTTACTACTTCAGCTTAAGTCATTCTCAATACAGATTCTGCTGATCTCCATTATGCCATTCCTTTTCTCATCTTAAAGAATCATTTTGCCAAAGGCATCTTTTCTCATTATTTTCGTTTGGGCATTTTTGTTTCGTATGTCAGGTCCCAGTGGCCAACGTAAGCTTCAACGTCATAGCAAGCATCGGAACTTTCACGGGATATTTGAGAAATTTTTTCCAGTTTTGCCAAGTCTTTGAAACGGGGGGAGTTGGTAAAAATGGCTCATCAGTTGCAGTAAGTTTTCCTTAAGAAATTAGAAGTGTTAGATTGCTGTAAATAAACAATGGTTTTTATGGTATAGGAAGAAATCCATGGTGGTTGGGGTTGTGGTTATTTGTTTTTCTTATAGTTTGGCTCAAAGAAATTTCTAAATTTATGAACTTTCCAGCATGACTTCTCATTATAATACCAATTTAATGGGCAAAGCATGGCAACCCAGTTTTATGTGAAGGTGTGATTCGTCTTCCCCCTTACTCTGCTAGAAGATAACTTTCTTCTGTATCTTTTAACAGTTGAATATTATTTTTCTTAATTATGTGACTAAAAATATTCATTTTTTTGCAAAGTAATAGTATGGAACTCAGAGATCCTACTTGCAGATTTGTGAGATGAGGCTTGATCTCAAATGAATATAAAAGTCAATTCAACAACTGTTACACTGCTCTTTTTTAACGTTTTTTTTTTTTTTTTTTAACATTTTAAATTTTTGAGCACAATATTGTGCTTCTATGCTTGGTGCAAATATGACTAACATTCTCTGTCTGTGCTTTGCTATTTGATTTTTTTCCAGCTCTTATTACGTGCTCTAATTATGTACTTGATTTTATTGTCATAAACTTTTCATTCATCACACACATACTGGTAAAGAAAAGACACTATACCGAGTTCATTAATAACTAGATCGGGAGATGGCTGGCTAGAATAAAATTTTGTGTGTATTTGAGCTGTTTATCTCTTTTGATCTAATGACAAGGACGTCAGAAGCATGACTACCTGCTTTTGTCAGCTAGACCAAGGGATTGTAAGCATGTTAAATTACCGTAATTTTGACATTGTCCGGCTCAGTATTTTCTCAACAAATACATCCGTCATCTATTTTCAAACTCTTACAGGACATTTTGAAAATAATATGTATAAAGTTTAGGTAAATGTTCAGAGTTTTTTCTTCAGGTTATCATCTTTGTGACCTAATTATTTCTTTAAATGTTTATTGTTACATTGCTTCTATTTTTACTTTTTATTTAAAGAAGTCAAACCACATGATTATTACTTTTCACCACACATTTCCTCAACTTTTTGTGTTTCACTGACAACTGTTTCAGCTTGGGAGAGAACACAAATTCTCATAGGCAATATGTCTCATCTTCCCCTTTCACAAAAAAATCAAGTTCAAATGGATAATTATGTTCATGGAGAATTTAAATATTGGTGGGTGACAAGCCAAAACAACCATCTTTGAAAGCACACTCTCTTTTCTCATCCACACATCAAATTGCTACCACAAATTTTGTCCCTGAGGTAGTTTTTTTTTCTTCTTTTTTGTTTCAATATTATTAAACATTATCCTCTATAAATAATCAATATTTTTTGCTGTATTATTTCATACTTCTCTTTCATCATGACAACTAATAATAATTTAGTGTCTAGTTCTACTGCACATTCCAGTTTTGTTCTTATGTTTTAAAGTTGAAAGTGCTGTAAAATTTTCTCTCACACAAAATGACAGATCCAAGGGTGCTGAACGCCTACTTTGTGCATGTTCCTATGCCTGTACCATCAGGACAGTGTGCAGCAGCATGTTGGTGCACTAATATTATTATCAACCTAATGCATGCAACTGACACATTTATGCGATTGGGACAGATCCCAGGGCTGGACATTGAGGTGAAGCAGATACCGATGATTATCGCCGTAATGTTGGCTGCGTTACTTGCTCATTCCAATTTGGCTGTAATTGTCTCTGGCGGGGTCGGGAAAAATGGTTCAACTGTTGCTGTAAGTGTTGAACTGACAATTTTCAGTTTGGTGTGCCTGTGGCTTTTACTTTAGAGTGAAACACAGTTGATAAAACATTGTTGTGCCTGAAAAACTTTTAGATTGCAACTTTTATTAAAACTAACTAGTTACCCTCATCAAAGTCTTATAAGGTGCAAATGCATGAATCAGTATTTGAAAAGTTATACAACTTAAAACTTTATTGTAGCTTCATTCTGGAGAGATTTTGATAGAGCTTAAGTTAAATTTCATGAAAATTACTGCAGTACTCCATTGCACAGAACATGGGGATGTTTGGGTATTAGACGTTTTCTCCTTAAGCAGATATTCTTAGCGCTGTGTTTCCTTCAGTCAATTTTATCTAGTACCTGAAGTTCCTATCTCAGCTAAAGAGTCTCTTTCCTGCATGAGATACCATTTTTGTGTTTGGGGTTGTGTTCTATATAACATGCATGTTTATGTGGTCTTGTGTTTGCTTTCATATCCTCACTTTGGTAGAATTTTTGTTATTCTGGTAAGTGAAAGTCAAAGGGCTTTACTTTAGTAAACAACAATGATTTAAAGTAGTTTCATTTTTATTGTTTTCTTGTTGCTTTAATGCATGTTTACTACTTTTTTTCATTGCTATTTCTTTGATCTGAACTATGGGTTTATTTTCAGATGCCAAATTAATTTGCAATGGCGTGAAATTTCCAAAACATTTAAAAATAACATTAGAAATTTTTCTCTGATTCTTTTGCCCCAGTTCACATTTTGTCTGTATTTGCCACTTCAAGTCCCTCTTTTTTGAGTGGTGTCTTAGGAGTTTGCTAGTGTATGAGCTATGTCAATCAAGAGGCAGCAAACTAAGTAGTTTGCCATTTTTAAGTATTTTTGAGCTGTATATACTGTTGGGTTTACATTGCATGTAGTTCATATACCAACTACTGAATTATTCATAGGTTTGATGTTATTTGAGTGTTTTATTATTTTTCTGATGACGCTTCTCCCTTGTACCCCAAACCACACAATACACTTTAAATTTTAAACTTCCGTCAAATTAGCTGTAAAC